AGTTCACGTACCTCGCATGCCACAACGAGTTCACGTACCTCGCATGCCACAACGAGTTCACGTACCTTGCATGCCACTCTGCCGGACGTCAGCTAAGAAGTTGCACTATTAGCAGTCGATACAACAGTCATTTAGAACCAGTAATTTTCTTCTCGACTTCATTCAAACTCTAGAGCTGGACTACAAAACCAACACGCGAACGCATGAAAAACATATAGAGAACAATGGCACAAGCTGATATTATCAGATAATTTATTCTGTGTAGGAATTGGTTTTTCACCACGTATAACCCCATTGAAACAATTTAGCCTACTAGCAATGGCCGTATTGAAGACACTTTGCTTCCTGGAATAAAAAATTTAGAAATAATGTCAATAACTACCGTAAAAATTATGCAGCGTTAGTTGGACTCAAAAAAGATAAAAAACATTTACAATAATCGACTTTATATTTTATTAACTCACACAATATAAGAATTTTTCATGTGTAAATTTTAATCTTTTAATAACTTGGGTAAAACCGGACCGGATTCAAGCATAATGAGAACTGTTAGATAACTTTCCGGACGCAATCCACATTATCCACAATATCGTGCCTGTTTATAAATCGGCATTCTCTCCTTTTCTTCCTCAGCACTCCCACAATACCAGGGGCGTGCGGTTCCATATGTCCCGGTGAAAGTATAGATTGAAAAAGTGGTGCTGTTTTTAAATGCGTAAAATATTTAAATGCCTGAGTACCTACCTCGCAATAGATTGTTCCCAAAAATTTTTTTGGCAACATTTCGCGACTTTATATTAATTTCTATTTGGATGTCATGAGAATTTTTAGCGCATTTTCTCATTTATGGAAAAAAGGCGCTATTGTGCTCGTCATGTCCGTCCGTCCGTCTGTCTGTCTGTCCGTCCGTGACTTCACGTTTTCGTCGACGAGAAAATGCGCTCTCTGTCACTCACTGTCACTCACACATCGAAGGAGAATGTTCAAAGACGTGCAACAAGGATAATTCCAGGCTTGAAGGACAAGTCCTATGAAGAAAGATTGAAGATTATGAAGCATGATTGAAAAGAAAGATTGAAGATTATGAAAGAATTGAAGAATTAAAGATTATGAAATTATTGAAAGATTGAAGATTATGAAGTATACATGTATACTCATGCCATGGTTTATACAAGGTCCCCGAAGGATTACTAGAATTTGAAACAAGAACCAACACCAGGGGCCACGGCTATAAACTAAAAAGACTGCGCTGCAATTTCTCCACGTGACAAAATTTCTTCTCGCTTCGAATCACCGACATGTGGAACAGCCTCCCCGATGACATCGTTGGCGCTCCAGGTATGAACATCTTCAAAAACAGACTAGACGAAGCTATGCAGGAGCATATGTTCAGTCTTAAAATGCCTAGCAAATTACGGAACCCGGTGGAAGTCTAGTAGCTTCTTCAAACTATCGCCAGTCATGAAACTGTCTCTTATACACATCTAGATGTGTATAAGAGACAGAAGCCAGCACCAATCGCCAGGATGCACAAATAGGCTATTCTAAT